ACTTTCCTCAACATAATAAAGGCCATATATGGCAAACCCACATCCAACATCATCCTCAATGGTGAAAAACTGAAAGCATTTCCACTAAGATCAGGAACAAGACAAGGTTTCCCACCCTCACCACTATTATTCAACAGAGTTTTGGAAGTTTTAGCCACAGCAATCAGAGAAGCAAAAGAAATAAAGGAATCCAAATGGAAAACAAGTAGTAAAGCTGTCACTGTTTGAAGATGATGTGATACTATACATTGAGAATCCTAAAGATGCTACCAGAAAGCTACTAGAGCTAATTAATGAATTTGGTAAAGTAGCAGGATACAAAATTAATGCACAGAAATCTCTGGCATTCCTATACACTAATGATGAAAAATCTGGAAGTGAAATTAAGAAAACACTCCCATTTACTATTGCAACAAAAAGAGTAAAATATCTGGGAATAAACCTACCTACGGAGACAAAAGATCTGTATGCAGAAAATTATAAGACACTGATGAAAGAAAATAAAGGTGATACAAACAGATGGAGAGATATACCACGTTCTTGGATTGGAAGAATCAACATTGTGAAAATGACTCTACTACCTAAAGCAATCTACAGATTCAGTGCAATCCCTATCAAACTACCACTGGCATTTTTCACAGGACTAGAACAAAAAATTTCACAATTTGTATGGAAACACAAAGGACCCTGAATAGCCAAAGCAATCTTGAGAACAAAAAACAGAGCTGGAAGAATCAGGCTACCAGAATTTAGACTATACTACAAAGCTACTCTAATCAAGACAGTATGGTACTGGCCAGAAACTGAAAGATTAATGGAACAGGATAGAAAGCCCAGAGATAAACCCACGCACATATGGTCACCTTATCTTTGATAAAGGCGGCAGGAATGTATAGTGGAGAAAGGAGAGCCTCTTTAATAAGTGGTGCTGAGAAAACTGGACAGGTACGTGTAAAAGCATGAAATTAGGGCTTCCCTGGTGGCACAGTGATTGAGCGTGCGCCTGCCGATCCAGGGGACACGGGTTTGTGCCCGAGTCCGGGAAGATCCCACATGCCGCGGAGCTGCTGGGTCCGTGAGTCATGGCTGCTGAGCCTGCGTTTCCGGACCCTGTGCTTCACAGCTGGAGAGGCCACAACAGTGAGCGGCCTCAGTACCGCAAAAAAAAAAAAAAAGTATGAAATTAGAACATTCCCTAACACCATACACAAAAATAAACTCAAAATGGGTTAAAGACCTAAATATAAGGCCAGGCACTATCAAACTCTTATAGGAAAACATATGCAGAACACTCTATGACATAAATCACAGCAAGATCCTTTTTGACCCATCTCCTAGAGAAATGGAAATAAAAACAAAAATAAATGTGAACTAATGAAACTTATCAGCTTTTGCATAGCAAAGGAAACCATAACCAAGACCGAAAGACAGCCCGCAGAATGGGAGAAAATATTTGCAAATGAAGCAACTGACCAAGGATCAATCTCCAAAATTTACAAGCAGCTCATGCAGCTCAATAACAAAAAAACAAGCAACCCAGTCCAGAAATGGGCAGAAGACCTAAATAGACATTTCTCCAAAGAAGATATACAGATTGCCAACAAGCACATGAAGGAATGCTCAACATCATTAACCATTAGAGAAATGCAACTCAAAACTACAGTGATCTGTCTTTTCACACTGGCCATCATCAAAAAATCTAGAAACAATAAATGCTGGAGAGGGTGTGGAGAAAAGGGAACCCTCTTTCACTGTTGGTGGGAGTGTAAATTGATACAGGCGCTATGGAGAACAGTATGCAGGTTCCTTAAAAAACTAAAAATTGAACTACCATACAACCCAGCAGTCCCACTATTGGGCATATACCCTGAGAAAACCATAATTCAAAAAGAGTCATGTACCAAAATATTCATTGCAGCTCTATTTACAATAGCCAGGACATGGAAGCAATCTAAGTGTCCATCAACAGTAATGGATAAAGAAGGTGTGGCACATGTTTACAGTGGAGTATTAGCCATAAAAAGGAACGAAACTGGGTTATTTGTAGTGACGTGGATGGACCTAGAGACTGTCATACAGAGTGAAGTAAGTCAGAAAGAGAAACACAAATACGGTATGCTAACATATATATATGGAATCTAAGGGGAAAAAATAGGTGATGAAGTACCTAGGGGTAAGATGGGAATAAGGACACAGACTTACTAGAGAATGGACTTGAAGATGTGGGGAGGGTGAAAGGTAAGCTGTGACGAAGTGTGAGAATGGCATGGACATATATACAGTATGAAACGTAAAATAGCTAGCTAGTGGGAAGCAGCTGCATAGCACAGGTGGATCAGCTCGGTGGTTTATGGCCACCAGTGGGGTGGGATAAGGAGGGTGGGAGGGAGGGAGATACAAGAGGGAAGAGATATGGAAACATGTTTATGTATAGCTGATTCACTTTGTTATAAAGCAGAAACTAACACACCACTGTAAAGCAATTATACTCCAATAAAGATGTTAAAAAGAAAAGATAGTAAACTGGGAATCAGAAAAAAAAAAAGAAAGAAAGAAAAGATGGACTCTTCAAGAAATGTGTTGGAATAATTGGTTTTTTGGAAAAATACTTAGACCTTTACTAAATATCATGCAAAAATAAATTGCAGGTGGAATAAAAATCTAAGGATAAAATATAATGCTATTAAATGTTAGAAGAGAAAAGAGGAATTTTTGTGTAATCTTGAGATAGGAAAGGCTTTCTTAAGCAAAACACAATCCAGAAGCCATTGAAGAAGAAAAATGAATATATTTTACTACATCAAAGTGATACATTTCTGTTGACTACAGTATACCGTATACAAAATTAATGGATAAATGAAAAACTGGAAGACCTATTTGTAACATATTAACAAAGGATTAAATAATATCCTTCCATATATTAAACACTGCTATAAATCAATAGGAAAAGGTTGAATGCCCTCTAAGAAAATTAAGTATATGAATAAGCATTCCACAAAATAAGAAACATAAATGGCCTAATATATGAAAGATGCTTAACTTCATCAGCAGTCAAATAAATTAAAATTTAAATAATCATTTAGATACTGTTGTTTAGCCTTTCCATTTGACAAAGATTTAAAACAATCATAACACTTCTGCTGGTAAATGGGGTTGGAAAACATATATACTCTTGGTGGGAGTGTAAATTGCTACAGTATAGCACTGACTTTCTAGAGGCAGTGTGGCAATATTATCAAAAATTAAAATGTATATAATCTTTAATCCAGATATTTCACATCTAGAAATTTTTCCAAGGAAATACCACAACAGTATATGGTCCCAGTTATTTGTGTAAGGGTGCTAATTACAGCAAGCTTATAATTGCCAGGATAAAAAGGGAAGTATTCCGTATGCCCATCAACAAGGGATTTGTTAAACAAATCATAATGCCCATATGCCCATCAATAGGGGATTCGTTAAACGAATTGTGATGTATCCATATAGAATACTAGCTGTGTGGCTGTTAGAAGCAGATTTACTGGCATATAAACTGATATGGAAACATCTCTGTGACATATTGTTAAGCTTTTGAAAAATCATACCTCAATATATATCACGTGATTCCATTTGTGTTTAAAAAGGAAAAAAAGTGTATGTGTGGGCCGTTTATTTTAAATGTTAATTTAAAACATAATTGAGATTGTAGTTGGTAATCTATTCTTTCTTCTCTTTTTTGCAATTCATTGGTTCATCATGGATTTCTATCCATGTCAGTGCATATAGATCTACGTCATCCCTTTGGTAGATGTATAAGTATCAACATTCTGTTTGTTTTAAAATGCTATGTGTGTGCATATATAATGAACATAAAAGAGTAAAAATTCAAGAAGAATATCCATACAGTTGTTAACAATGGTTACACTGAGAGGAGGAAGAGGGCTTTCATTACTAGTGGATTGACTGATTTTTCTTAAGTATAGATATATACTTAGCAAAAATAATAAAAATATTTCTATTTAAGGAAGAAAAACATAGTTTTTAAAAATTTATGTTTATAGAAAGTGTAAAACTAGAAAGCGCCTCAAAACCTCTTTAAAGTTTGAGAAATCAATAGCTATTAACATTACTTTAACGATAAGAAAAAAAAGGGTGGGAAAAGAATAGAAAGGAGGAATCAGAAAGAGATTTTTTCCAAAGGAAAAGAGATATGAATGAACATAATAGCAGCTTCAGGAATTCAGTCAGCATCCTAGTCTCTGCTTTAGTGTTCGTAGTTCATTGTTTATTTCACGTTTCTACCAAAAAGTATTCTCTAGAGAAATACATTAATTATTTTTCTTTGTGATTGGAGAAAGCAATAAAAATTTAAGCAAAAGCATTAACTTTTTAGCGTCTTAAAATCTTTTTCTCGTCAGCTGTTTGTTATCTCAAACTGTCTTTCCCAAACTCCTGTTAAACAGTTTTAAATTCACGTTACAGTGTGAATGCAAACTATACATTTTTAAGACTTTATTATTTTTTTATTTATTTATTTTTATTATTTTTTTCGAGTACTTTTAGATTCACGACAAAATTAAGGAGGAAGTACAGAGATTTCTGGTACACCCCCTGCACCCACACATGCATAGCCTCCTCCGTTAACATCCTCACCAGAGGGATACATTTTTTACAATTATGAGGCTGTGTACTACCTACTGCGCTAATGAGTCTCCTAATTTTTTTACAATTGATGAGCCTACACTGACACATCATTATCACCCAAAGTGCACAGTTTACATTAGGATTCACTCTTGGTGTTGTACTAAATATATATATTTTAGCCTTTTACATGAGGCAAATAATTTTTCATATAAGATATAGAAAATGAGGCTTTGTGTTCTCATGATCTAGAGATTTATATCTTTATTATTGATTCTGACCTGGGTGTTCTTATAATATACCAGATGTAAATTTTTTAGTATTTGTTATTTTAACTTTTAAAAGTGTATATTATTTGACTCACTTTTTGTTTTAATTAGGTAACTGGGAAAAAGGCATATGCTACAAGCCAGCAAATTTATGAAGCGGTTAAATCATTGTGGACAAAAAACAACAAAAAAGAGTCACTTCCTGAACCTAAAGAAAACACTAAGGTAGAGTTTAAATGGACCAAAAAGGTAGGTTTTGAGTTTTGTTTGGGTGGGTTTTAGCTTGTAATGAGAGTCCTAGACAGAAGTCAAGGATGGATTGAAAAGAGATGAAGGAATATACTACCTTTGCATGCTATAATTTTCTTTTTTTTTCCTGTGAAGTTTCAATGTATTATTACATACCTAGTACAAAGAATAGTGCCTAATACATAGTAAATGAAAAAAATAATAATTTTCTTAATTTTGTATATAGTAATATAAAAAAAACTAAAAATGACTGCTTAGAAGAGAAACAGTTTTTCCTAGAGTTAAGTCCTAAGACATATGTTGCTGTTAGGTCTCTGTAAAGTGTGTATGATATTCTTGGCAACAATATATGAATAGAGTCCTTAATCATAACATCTTTCATTTTAGTCAACAACATAACATAAAGCCCATTTCACTGGAAGCAATATTAATATTAACTATGGACTAAGCAATGATTTTTCATGTTCTGGTTTGATTTTAAGATGAAATTTTGGATATCTATAAAAATAAATTCCTTTAGGAATTATGCCATTAAATCAATTTTCACAACTAGAATTTTGATGAGTTAAGCAACGAAGAGTTTGTTTTCTTATAAAAATGTGGAAATCACATTACAGGTTATTGCTTAAAGACAGAATTATATTCTTAACAATCAACCAAAAACAGACTGAACTTATATAGAAGATTATTTCATAGTTCCTTATTGATTAGTTTTAATCATGTTTCGTATGACACCAATACTCTCAAACTTGAGAACATTTAATGCTTTGTATTAGGAATAGGGCAGCAAGAACTATTATAGCACATACATTGTAAAGATAGCATTCGAATTAATTTTCAGTCCCTGATACATAGCATTTAAACTCAAGATTGACATAAAATCAATTAGCAAAAGAAAGTCAGTTTGTAACTAAGTTATGTATGGCCTTATTACCAATTGCATTTTGATTTACAATACTATATCTTTAGCATGCTACAGCTTTCCTTATGGCTATTTCTATTTTAAGGAAGGTTTTATAAAATCTTTTTTTTTACATCTTTATTGGAGTATAATTGCTTTACAATGGTGTGTTAGTTTCTGCTTTATAACAAAGTGAATCAGTTATACATATACATATGTTCCCATATCTCTTCCCTCTTGCGTCTCCCTCCCTCCCACCCTCCCTATCCCACCCCTCCAGGCGGTCACAAAGCACCAAGTTGATCTCCCTGTGCTATGCGGCTGCTTCCCACTAGCTATCTACCTTACGTTTGGTAGTGTATATATGTCCATGCCTCTCTCTCGCTTTGTCACAGCTTACCCTTACCCCTCCCCGTATCCTCAAGTCCATTCTCTAGTAGGTCTTGAGCTATTTGTAGTGAGGTGGATAGACCTAGAGTCTGTCATACAGAGTGAAGTAAGTCAGAAAGAGAAAGACAAATACCGTATGCTAACACATATATATGGAATTTAAGGAAAAAAATGTCATGAAGAACCTAGGGGTAAGACAGGAGTAAAGACACATGCTATAATGTTTTAAGGTATTTTATTCTTTTAGTAAAACGATTTACTTATGAAAGAAAAATCCTTTTTGGTAAACAGCTAGGAAGCTCTGATGAAATAGAAATACCTGCAAAAACAACTCACAACCTGAAACATTCAGTGCCTTTGTCAACAGAACTCAGCTCTGAAACAAAGACCAAATCAGAATCCACCTCAGGTTTGTTTGGAATAATTCAATTTTGTTTTCATTATTTTCTTAAATAACTTTATAGTATTATAATTAGTAGTTTGAACTTATTTATGTGTTTTCCTCATAAATGTTTTGTCTTTCTCATATCTGTAGTCTGTGTATCTTTTTAGGTTATGAGGTACTCAGATACGTGGAACTTTTTCTAATTGCCACATAGCTCATAACATAGTTCTTGGCATATGAGAGTAGAGAATAATAGCACTGGCTGGTTGGGTGACTGAAGCATTTAATCACTTTATAGATGTGAGATTTTTAATCAGGTGGAGGAAAATGTGTCTTTCTGGATTCTACCAGTTTACAGGCTATGACGAGTCACATCTACATAGAAGAAATATCAGGTTTCCATTTCTTGTGCTATCTACCCCTATCAATCTTCTCTTCTACCATCAGTTTTATTTAGTTTAGATACTAAGAACTTTCAGCATCAAATAGTAAAAATAACACAAGTTATATAATATTAATATCTTTGCTAGTATTAGATACAGGCAATTAATACTTTGTGGGACCAAATAGTGACAATTATACTTCCTAGGCAAATACTACCATGGTTTTACTGTGATCAAAAAGAAAGTAAGAGTGTTTAATACCATTTCAGTAGTGTATTCACATAAGCTCACCAGTCACTGGTTCATGTAGGTTTGTTTATCTGTACCGTGTAAATGGTACTATGCATTAAGTTGTCTTATTACAAAGGAAATAGGACCAACTCAGAGGTAGAGACAGGGAATAATGAAAATATCTCCCCTTTACTGAGCAACTACTGTGGTGCAAAGAGCTGTTAGTATGTTATGTTATTCAATCCTCTCCCAAAAAGCAAAACAAAAAACTCTGGTATATATGTAATGATAATTGTTTTATGATAAAAGACTGAGACTCAGGGAGCTTAAGTAACTTGCCCAAAATTATAGTTTATGAATAGAGTTGTGTTTATAGTCTAGATATTACTGACACCAAAGTCCCAGCTCTTTCCATTGCATATAGATTATCTAATATAAAGCCAGAGTTTAGTCTCTAATTTCAGCCTCCTCTTCTCTTACTTAATCTTTATAAAAGCTGTCACTGAGTAAACCTGATTTGAGTTTTACTATTTCCTGTCACGTCTCCTTTCTAATCAAGATAAGTTATACAGTTTTTAGACTCTCTCTGAGTAATCCCCAGTTGATAGTATTCCCACAGGCATATAATATATCTGGTCATTTCTCTAAATACCTGTCAACTCCAGAGATCTTTGTGGAGATATTGCAGCTTCACAATGGGACCAAACCATCCCCAGCCAATGTCTTTTCTTCACATATCTGGATTCTGGAACATTTTGCCTGCCTGTCATGGGTAATGTGGTATATGAAAAGCATTCTAAGGAGACATGTAGAAGAGAGAAATACCCAGTACTATTCATCCTTATATAGTATTCAGATTTGATTATACTTGAGACCCTTGAGACTATTTCCGCATTTCATATGCAATCCCAAAGGTCCAAGACACAGAAAACAGTAGTGATTATGAGTACAGGTTTTAGAATAGAACCTGGATCTGAATCCTAAATCCAACATTTACTAGTTTTATTGCCTGGGGCAAGTTATCTAATACCTCAAGCCTCATCTATAAAAGGAGGACAATAATAGTGTTTTTCTGACATGCTTGTTGTGAGGATTAAATGAGATATTGCATGTAAAGCAAAAAGTACAATGTCAAGCACATACTAAGTTCTCAGTAAGTGTTAGAAGATATCATTATCATTGGCCTAGAGTAATTAGCCATTTTGCCGATAAACAAATTTATTGTCATTGAGCACACTTTGGGAGCACATTACTTAGCTAGGGAACCTAGCCATGGCCACCACTTCTCACCATACAGAATAAATTGGGTGTACTGTCCAACTATATATCATGGCTCTGAATATGAGTTTGGTTGTTCTCTATCATCCATATACATTTATGCCAATAACTTATTTTGGGAATCACAAATTCGGAAATTTGGTGACATGGACCTCTTCAAAATCTGATGAAAGCAGAATGAAATCTCTCACAGTCTCACAAGATTAATGTCCCTCTCAGAGGATGGCAAACTATGGACCCTGTGCCAAATCTGGCTCACGGACTATTTTTGTACATTTCACAAATGGTTCCTATGTGATTAAAATAGTTTAAAAATAAAAATAAAAATATTTCATGACAAGTTAAAATTGTATGAAATTCAAATTCCAGTGTCCATAAATAAATAAAGTCTTATTGGAACACAGCCACACTCATTGTGTATTGTTTTGTCTGTGGCTGCTTTCACCCTAAAATGGCAGAGTTGAGTGGTTGTGATGGAGACCTTATGGTTTACAAAGTTGAAAATGTTTACTTTGGCCCTGTGCAAACAAAGTTTGCTGATTTCTGTGTTAGAGGGATGATGTGTGCCATATATACATGACTCATCTTCCCCTCTTGATATTTCCCAGATTATTTTATAAGTCATAACACTGAATAGTCAAACTCAAAACCCTGAAGGGCAAAACCAAATTTCCTACAGTCTTTTAGTGTGAGGGAGACAGAAACTCAGGCTGTCAATCAGAAGCTAGAGAGTATCATACCTGAGGAGGAGGGAGGAACCAGTGGTTGACTGACTCTTACTATAACTGCAGCTCAGCTCAGTGCCTGATTGGAGTGAGATGATAAGTACTTCACCCTTCCTAAAAGAGGAAAAGGGTCCCTCCCTCTGGCCGATGATATTATCTGGAGCTTCTTCAGTTCTTTTTTACACGGTGTCCACCATACAAATAAAATACTAGTCATGCAAAGAGGCAGGAAGATGTGACTAACAAAAGAGAAAAAAAATAACAGCAGACCCACAGGTGATCTAAATATTGAAGTTAGCAGAAAAGCACTTTAACTATTACTAGTATGTCAAATGGAAAACGTGATGAACAAAATGGATAAAAAGATGGGAGAATTTCACAGAAAGTTGAAATCTATTAAAAAATCAAGTGGATATTCTAGATGTGAAAAATACAGTACATGAAATTATGAACTCATTGGATGGGTTTAATAGCAGATCAAATATAAAAAGAGGACAGAAATAATGAACTCAAATACAGAACAATAAAAAAATAGCCAAACTGAAGTACAGAGAGAAAAAAGAATGGAAAGAATAGAACAGCATGTGAAACTACTTTGCAATGACTAATATCTTTTAGTGTTTCAGTTACTGAAAAGCTGAATACTGAATATCATCCCAATTTTATACAAAAGAAACAAAAATAGAATCTCTAACATTTGTAACTTCACTCAGCAATTTATTAGTGATCTGTCCTATTTTTTTTGTACCTAACTTGCTTAAAATATAAATGAGATAAGACGTGAACTAAATTATCAGTGAACAGATAACACCTAATGGCTATTTGAGATAATAATTCATTGCTGTTTTATAACTTTAAATATCTTTATTCCTTTCCTGTTTGTATGACACCAGATTTTTTTAAAGTCTACTAAAAAAAACTAAGCATAAATTGTTTTTTATTAGAGATTTAAATATGGTAAAGTACAAAGAAAATCATTACAATGATTAGGGGATTGAGATTCAAGAAGAGTTTTTATGATTGGTAATTCTTTGGGAGGACAGAGAGCCTTGGATCAAAAGGGATGAAGAAATTTCTAAGAGGAAAGATATAATCCTTAATTACTCAGAAAAGCATGAGATGACCCTTTAAAAAAAAAGGCAGAAATCAAATGACCTAGGTTGAATGGTTCTAAACCAGAGGGATCCACATCACAATTTCTTGAGTTTTTTTTTTTTTTTCTAAAATTCACTCTTAACAAGAATTATAAATCAGAATCTCCAGAGGTGAGGCCTCCAAGCAGGTGGATTGTAGGAAAAGCTCCTCAGGGAATTCTCTATGCATATTCCTCTAGTTAATAATATCTGACATAAGCTATGGATAAACTAAAAATTTGAAGCCTTTCAACAAATTTAGAGAGGTGAAGCTCTAAAGGCAAAGGAGCCTTTCAAATTTAGGTGATCTGACCCTTTGACCATATTTTGGACAAGAATATAAATTAAGGTAGTGAGTAGAAGTGTTAGAGAACTTAGTCAATTGGTTGACATTGTTAAGAAAATTAGACACATTCAGACTTACATAAAATAATTATTTGTCAATGCTTGCTATAGTATATCTGTTTGATAAAAAAAAACATTGATTAAACTATTTCGTAGTATACTTTTCACTTGTACTGAGCAAAGGCTTCCACCAGGTGTCAGTAAAGATGCATTTGGGAAAGAAGCAGACAGAACCTCTAAGCTTAACCTTTTCTGTGTGCTACAGACCCATTCTCAGAATTTTTTTTTTTTTTTTTTGCGGTACGCGGGCCTCTCACTGTTGTGGCCTCTCCCGTTGCGGAGCACAGGCTCTGGACGTGCAGGCTCAGCGGCCATGGCTCACGGGCCCTGCTGCTCCGCGGTATGTGGGATCTTCCCGGACTGGGGCGCGAACCCGTGTCCTCTGCATCGACAGGCAGACTCGCAATCACTGCGCCACCAGGGAAGCCCTCTCAGAATGTTTTAAATGCATAAACTAAAATACATAGTAATGTATGAGCTTCCTTAATTGTGTTAATCAACAGTATCTAACAACATATCTGATTAAGGCTATAATTTTGAAGTAGTAGTAAGTGTAAATATTTCAAGATATCTGCAACTGCAGTGTGATTATCTGTGATTTCTGTTAGTGGCAAAGTCTAAGGTACCGTGAATAGTATTGTGGTTTGTTGCCTGCATTCATTATCGAAGAAAACGTTCATCTTCAGTCAAAGGTTAATGAAAATAAAGACAAATTTTCCCCATTCAACTTCATAGATCACATGAATTCTATCCACAGACCTCCCTCCCCCAGAGGAATCCCAGGTTAAAAATCTGTCTGTGGAGAACTGTATTAATGTCATAGATAGTGATTATTTAAGATCTGGCTGTTTTTAAAATATACTTAGTGG